CACTTGAAAGGTGTACAACTACCTACCATAGCCTGTGACAAGGTTGGTTTGTTACTTGGTGTTGACGTTCCAGAGGCCCACTGGGTCCTCGATCAGCGTATCGGAAAACCTAAACAACCCTATGCCTCACTAACTATGTTAGGATGGGCTTTATTTGGACCAACGGGTCAACTTATAAAACTTCAGTCTTCATAAACTGTTTAGAAGCAAAGAGTTCTATCGAGGATGGACCCACGCCACCCCTTTCTTTGACCACAGTAGCGCCTGAAAACTCTTCAAATCGTTTGTTGCCGTTCATAGATGATCCTGGTTTATGCCTTAAACACTCTCCTGATGTGGCACTCTTAGTCGATAATGATGATGTACGCTCACTCATAGTAGCAGCAGCCGCTGTTGAGACTGAAGATTCCAGGGTTCATCAAGGTTTACCGTCAGTTCGTTCTTCTGGATTTGACACTCCACCTGATTCAAGAAGTAACCGACTTATAGACACCTTTGATTCTGTATCTAAAGCGACAGACGAGAATCTAATGGATTTAGAACAAGTTATTTCATTACCAGCTGTTGACGATGAGTACCTTCTAAAAACTGCCAACGATCGTCATGTCGATACAGTAGTGAATATTGACCTTAGATGTATTTCTCCTCCAGACAAAATTCTTCCAACAGATAGTGGCGAGTTAATGTCATCGAAAACATCTGTTATGTTCTCTGCCGAAACAGATCTCCCTGGTGTTTCTGACGTAAACGATAGTGCTAAGTCTGTGATACTACTACACGAGTCATCAATTAGTTGCAAAGCAACAACAACTCAGTTCTCTGCAAATACGAAACTTGTATCTCCTGTAGTGGCGTCTGCTGAGAGTTCTATTGACATCAAGCGTGAAACAGAGAATCAGAAAGATGATTGTTTTATTCAGTCTGCTGATGATGATAAGAAGTTTAAGACAACTACATCCATGTCCCCTTTAGTTGGGTTAGACAAGCAGATACAACATCCATTACCAGACTTTAAGGATAGTAGAGTAGCTAAAGAAATGACTCATCGGAACATAGAATGGCACCATAACACTCCCTACGCAAATCATCATCGAGTATGGGAAAGATTAATAGGAAGCATACGCAGACCTTTGAGCGCAGTATCTATGTCCTACGAGACACTCACCACCTGTTTGACTGAAGCAGAAAGAATACCTAATGATAGACCACTCTTACAGACGCGAACAAAATGGACACAAGGAAGACGAGATTTACAAGTTCGCGGTCCAGTCTTGATTATTGGGGACACTTATGCACGAAATAACTGGCCTAAAGGCCTCGTGGTAAGTTTTGACCCAGGAGGAGATGGTCTATGGAAACAAGCGAAGATCAGAACGTGGAAAGGTACAATTATTAGAGGCATACGTAAAATTTGTTTATTAGAAGGAGCTGACGACCGAAAAGTAGAGGATAGAGAGACTTTTCAGAGTGACTGTGGCTAGAGTAAATCGTACCATTGTCACCTCTGAATGTTTTTACGTTAATACCTAATCAGCGAAAGTAAGGAAAGACATGCTGTCTTTGGGGGGCGGTGTTAAGTTTGTTTTACATTGTTCCTACATGTTCCTTTTCTACTCTTTTGTATGTTGTTTTATACTACTTATTTACATTCAGTAGGCAGCTGTATGCCCAACAATTTTCACACTTATGTTGTAACTCAAGTTGTACTGTAACATTCTGGAATGTTCACATATATCTTTAACGTTTATTTTACTTATCATTGTATTTATCATTATAATCACTGTAATTTAATTACTGTAACGGTTATCCACAGTTTTATGCATTTGTTTAAACGCAACAGTTTCCATATTGTTTGCTCTTGGTTCGAGTTTCGGTTGTTCATAAACTGTTATCAAATTTAGACACAGCTATCGGCTGTCTTTGGACTATCGTATGTTGTAATCATTCTTTATGTTACTCTTACAGGAAGCCTTTGCTATTTTCATTCTTGAACGACGCGTTTAAACGCCTAGACACCTCACAAGTTGAGGTTTGTAACTAAATTTTGTGTATTATTTAATAAAGAACCGCTTTTGTAGACAAATCGTTGTTTTGGAACTTCGATTTTGCGCGTATCTCAATCGGGGTTACTTCGACGCTTCGATAGAATTAACAGTTCTCAACTTTGGTCTCATTTGGTGTGGATACAGTTCTGAACTTTGGTCCTAATTGGAGGGAATACTTGCTGTAACGAATTTGGTCGGAATCCTGTTTGGTTCATTCATCCCAACGATGACTAGAACGAGAAGAATGAAGTACAACGACGACAGTTCCCAAGACACAGACAATTCCAGTGCTGAAAATATTATTCCTTCAGTTTCTAAGGTGAATTCACCTATTCCTTTAAATCTTGCCTTTGATATTGTTAAACCTAACCCCAAAGACAGCTCGGTAGGAGACAACTATATAGAGACTAGATACAGCGTAGAAGACGAAGTGGATTCTAGGGAAAGGGAAGTAGAAAAGATTGAGCTGGAGATTAGAGAACTCCAACTACGCAAGCGATTGTTAGAGCTAACTCCGAACTCTTCAAACAAAGTGAGAAGACCTAGAGGAACTACCGAGTTGTCGGGGTCTCGATCCGAGGATAAAACTTCAGTAGTTACGGCAAGTCACCGATACACCAATGTACCTTCGAGCGATGAAATGCAATTCAAAGCACAGGTAGATAGCGTCAAGGCGCTGTTTATGTCAGTAAGCTTACCGAAGATAGAAATCATGAAATTTGACGGGAGCCCTCTGAAATTTTGGACGTTCATGAAGGGATTCAAGGTTAACATAGCTGACAGAGTAAATGATGACACTCAGAAATTAATGTACTTGATACACTATTGCGAAGGTATAGCAAAGGATGCTATAGAACACTGTGTTTTATTACCAGAAAAAGAAGGTTATACTGAGGCAATTAAACTTCTACATGAACGGTTCGGCAGACCACATGACATCGTAGAAGCCTTCTTAACAGAACTGTTAAGTGGATCACCATTGAATCAAGACGACATAACAGGCCTACAGAAACTGACAAGACTCATGACTAACTGTAAGATAGCCTTGTCACAGATGGGCAGGAATGCCGATCTGGATTGTTCGACCAACATAAAACGAATAGTGAAACGACTACCACGTAGTATACAGTTTAAATGGGCGGGGGCCGCAGACGATATTTTAAGAAAGGGGCTAGAGCCCAAATTTGATGATTTATTGCAATTCTTAGAAAAGAAAGTGTCAATCGCCACAAACACATACGGACAGTTAGCAAGCGGAAGCTATAAAGCTCAAACGACATCGAACAACCGGTCGGCTTCCATAAGAGCTAAGATCCATACTTCGTCGATTAAAGGACAGTCCATTGTGTAATTTGCTCGGATGCCCACGAAGTCGCATCTTGCCCTCAGCTGCTGGCAGTAAGTCACAACGAAAAAGTAGAATTGCTGAAGAAGTTTAAACTTTGCTTCAATTGTTTAAAACCCAATCATCGAGCCACAGACTGCAGACAACCCGTGTTGTGTGAAATTGATGGATGCAAGCGACGCCATCATAGAATTCTTCACAACACAGAACCTGATGCTAAACAAGCATGTTGTAACTCTACTCATACTACTGGAACGTATTTAGGCTTTGTACCAGTCAGGCTACATGGTCCCACAGGTTATGTGGATACCTATGCATTGTTAGATAATGGCTCAGACTCGACATTACTGCTTAGTGACGTGGCAAAGCAGGTAGGAATTTCTGGTACAGTGACAAGATTAAACATATCTTCAGTAATTGGAGCGTCATCTCAGAACGCTGAACTTACCAATTTCGAAATTGAGTCTTTAGATAAGACCAACCGAATAAAAATCGAAGGTGCATATACTATAGATAACCTACCTATTAAAGGAGCAGAAATCCCACCAACGGACTTCCAAGAAAGATGGAAACACTTGAAAGGTGTACAACTACCCACCATAGCCTGTGACAAGGTTGGTTTGTTACTTGGTGTTGACGTTCCAGAGGCCCACTGGGTCCTCGATCAGCGTATCGGAAAACCTAAACAACCCTATGCCTCACTAACTATGTTAGGATGGGCTTTATTTGGACCAACGGGTCAACTCAGTAAAACTTCAGTCTTCATAAACTGTTTAGAAGCAAAGAGTTCTATCGAGGACGGACCCACGCCACCCCCTTCTTTGACCACAGTAGCGCCTGAAAACTCTTCAAATCGTTTGTTGCCGTTCATAGATGATCCTGGTTTATGCCTTAAACACTCTCCTGATGTGTCACTCTTAGTCGATGATGATGATGTACGCTCACTCATAGTAGCAGCAGCCGCTGTTGAGACTGAAGATTCCAGGGTTCATCAAGGTTTACCGTCAGTTCGTTCTTTTGGATTTAACACTCCACCTGATTCAAGAAGTAACCGACTTATAGACACCTTTGATTCTGTATCTAAAGCGACAGACGAGAATCTAATGGATTTAGAACAAGTTATTTCATTACCAGCTGTTGACGATGAGTACCTTCTAAAAACTGCCAACGATCGTCATGTCGATACAGTAGTGAATATTGACCTTAGATGTATTTCTCCTCCAGACAAAATTCTTCCAACAGATAGCGGCGAGTTAATGTCATCGAAAACATCTGTTATGTTCTCTGCCGAAACAGATCTCCCTGGTGTTTCTGACGTGAACGATAGTGCTAAGTCTGTGATACTACTACACGAGTCATCAATTAGTTGCAAAGCAACAACAACTCAGTTCTCTGCAAATACGAAACTTGTATCTCCTGTAGTGGCGTCTGCTGAGAGTTCTATTGACATCAAGCGTGAAACAGAGAATCAGAAAGATGATTGTTTTATTCAGTCTGCTGATGATGATAAGAAGTTTAAGACAACTACATCCATGTCCCCTTTAGTTGGGTTAGACAAGCAGATACAACATCCATTACCAGACTTTAAGGATAGTAGAGTAGCTAAAGAAATGACTCATCGGAACATAGAATGGCACCATAACACTCCCTACGCAAATCATCATCGAGTATGGGAAAAATTAATAGGAAGCATACGTAGACTTTTGAGCGCAGTATCTATGTCCTACGAGACACTCACCACCTGTTTGACTGAAGCAGAAAGAATACCTAATGATAGACCACTCTTACAGACGCGAACGAAATGGACACAAGGAAGACGAGATTTACAAGTTCGCGGTCCAGTCTTGATTATTGGAGACACTTATGCACGAAATAACTGGCCTAAAGGCCTCGTGGTAAGTTTTGATCCAGGAGGAGATGGTCTATGGAAACAAGCGAAGATCAGAACGTGGAAAGGTACAATTATTAGAGGCATACGTAAAATTTGTTTATTAGAAGGAGCTGACGACCGAAAAGTAGAGGATAGAGAGACTTTTCAGAGTGACTGTGGCTAGAGTAAATCGTACCATTGTCACCTCTGAATGTTTTTACGTTAATACCTAATCAGCGAAAGTAAGGAAAGACATGCTGTCTTTGGGGGGCGGTGTTAAGTTTGTTTTACATTGTTCCTGCTCATTCCTTTTCTACTCTTTTGTATGTTGTTTTATACTACTTATTTACATTCAGTAGGCAGCTGTATGCCCAACAATTTTCACACTTATGTTGTAACTCAAGTTGTACTGTAACATTCTGGAATGTTCACATATATCTTTAATGTTTATTTTACTTATAATTGTATTTATCATTATAATCACTGTAATTTAATTACTGTAAAGGTTATCCACAGTTTTATGCATTTGTTTGAATGCAACAGTTTCCATATTGTTTGCTCTTGGTTCGAGTTTCGGTTGTTCATAAACTGTTACCAAATTTAGACACAGCTATCGGCTGTCTTTGGACTATCGTATGTTGTAATCATTCTTTATGTTACTCTTACAGGAAGCCTTTGCTATTTTCATTCTTGAACGACGCGTTTAAACGCCTAGACACCTCACAAGTTGAGGTTTGTAACTAAATTTTGTGTATTATTTAATAAAGAACCGCTTTTGTAGACAAATCGTTGTTTTGGAACTTCGATTTTGCGCGTATCTCAATCGGGGTTACTTGGACGCTTCGATAGAATTAACAGTTCTCAACTTTGGTCTCATTTGGTGTGGATACAGTTCTGAACTTTGGTCCTAATTGGAGGGAATACTTGCTGTAACGAATTTGGTCGGAATCCTGTTTGGTTCATTCATCCCAACGATGACTAGAACGAGAAGAATGAAGTACAACGACGACAGTTCCCAAGACACAGACAATTCTAGTGCTGACAATATTATTCCTTCAGTTTCTAAGGTGAATTCACCTATTCCTTTAAATCTTGCCTTTGATATTGTTAAACCTAACCCCAAAGACCTCAGTAGGAGACAACTATATAGAGACTAGATACAGCGTAGAAGACGAAGTGGATTCTAGGGAAAGGGAAGTAGAAAAGATTGAGCTGGAGATTAGAGAACTCCAACTACGCAAGCGATTGTTAGAGCTAACTCCGAACTCTTCAAACAAAGTGAGAAGACCTAGAGAGACTACCGAGTTGTCGGGGTCTCGATCCGAGGATAAAACTTCAGTAGTTACGGCAAGTCACCGATACACCAATGTACTTTCGAGCGATGAAATGCAATTCAAAGCACAGGTAGATAGCGTCAAGGCGCTATGTATGTCAGTAAGCTTACCGAAGATAGAAATCATGAAATTTGACGGGAGCCCTCTGAAATTTTGGACGTTCATGAAGGGATTCAAGGTTAACATAGCTGACAGAGTAAATGATGACACTCAGAAATTAATGTACTTGATACACTATTGCGAAGGTATAGCAAAGGATGCTATAGAACACTGTGTTTTATTACCAGAAAAGGAAGGTTATACTGAGGCAATTAAACTTCTACATGAACGGTTCGGCAGACCACATGACATCGTAGAAGCCTTCTTAACAGAACTGTTAAGTGGATCACCATTGAATCAAGACGACATAACTGGCCTACAGAAACTGACAAGACTCATGACTAATTGTAAGATAGCCTTGTCACAGATGGGCAGGAATGCCGATCTGAATTGTTCGACCAACATAAAACGAATAGTGAAACAACTACCACGTAGTATGCAGTTTAAATGGGCGGAGGCCGCGGACGATATTTTAAGAAAGGGGCTAGAGCCCAAATTTGATGATTTATTGCAATTCTTAGAAAAGAAAGTGTCAATCGCCACAAACACATACGGACAGTTAGCAAGCGGAAGCTATAAAGCTCAAACGACATCGAACAACCGGTCGGCTTCCATAAGAGCTAAGATCCATACTTCGTCGATTAAAGGACAGTCCATTGTGTAATTTGCTCGGATGCCCACGAAGTCGCATCTTGCCCTCAGCTGCTGGCAGTAAGTCACAACGAAAAAGTAGAATTGCTGAAGAAGTTTAAACTTTGCTTCAATTGTTTAAAACCCAATCATCGAGCCACAGACTGCAGACAACCCGTGTTGTGTGAAATTGATGGATGCAAGCGACGCCATCATAGAATTCTTCACAACACAGAACCTGATGCTAAACAAGCATGTTGTAACTCTACTCATACTACTGGAACGTATTTAGGCTTTGTACCAGTCAGGCTACATGGTCCCACAGGTTATGTGGATACCTATGCATTGTTAGATAATGGCTCAGACTCGACATTACTGCTTAGTGACGTGGCAAAGCAGGTAGGAATTTCTGGTACAGTGACAAGATTAAACATATCTTCAGTAATTGGAGCGTCATCTCAGAACGCTGAACTTACCAATTTCGAAATTGAGTCTTTAGATAAGACCAACCGAATAAAAATCGAAGGTGCATATACTATAGATAACCTACCTATTAAAAGAGCAGAAATCCCACCAACGGACTTCCAAGAAAGATGGAAACACTTGAAAGGTGTACAACTACCTACCATAGCCTGTGACAAGGTTGGTTTGTTACTTGGTGTTGACGTTCCAGAGGCCCACTGGGTACTCGATCAGCGTATCGGAAAACCTAAACAACCCTATGCCTCACTAACCATGTTAGGATGGGCTTTATTTGGACCAACGGGTCAACTTATAAAACTTCAGTCTTCATAAACTGTTTAGAAGCAAAGAGTTCTATCGAGGACGGACCCACGCCACCCCTTTCTTTGACCACAGTAGCGCCTGAAAACTCTTCAAATCGTTTGTTGCCGTTCATAGATGATCCTGGTTTATGCCTTAAACACTCTCCTGATGTGGCACTCTTAGTCGATGATGATGATGTACGCTCACTCATAGTAGCAGCAGCCGCTGTTGAGACTGAAGATTCCAGGGTTCATCAAGGTTTACCGTCAGTTCGTTCTTCTGGATTTAACACTCCACCTGATTCAAGAAGTAACCGACTTATAGACACCTTTGATTCTGTATCTAAAGCGACAGACGAGAATTTAATGGATTTAGAACAAGTTATTTCATTACCAGCTGTTGACGATGAGTACCTTCTAAAAACTGCCAACGATCGTCATGTCGATACAGTAGTGAATATTGACCTTAGATGTATTTCTCCTCCAGACAAAATTCTTCCAACAGATAGCGGCGAGTTAATGTCATCGAAAACATCTGTTATGTTCTCTGCCGAAACAGATCTCCCTGGTGTTTCTGACGTGAACGATAGTGCTAAGTCTGTGATACTACTACACGAGTCATCAATTAGTTGCAAAGCAACAACAACTCAGTTCTCTGCAAATACGAAACTTGTATCTCCTGTAGTGGCGTCTGCTGAGAGTTCTATTGACATCAAGCGTGAAACAGAGAATCAGAAAGATGATTGTTTTATTCAGTCTGCTGATGATGATAAGAAGTTTAAGACAACTACATCCATGTCCCCTTTAGTTGGGTTAGACAAGCAGATACAACATCCATTACCAGACTTTAAGGATAGTAGAGTAGCTAAAGAAATGACTCATCGGAACATAGAATGGCACCATAACACTCCCTACGCAAATCATCATCGAGTATGGGAAAGATTAATAGGAAGCATACGTAGACCTTTGAGCGCAGTATCTATGTCCTACGAGACACTCACCACCTGTTTGACTGAAGCAGAAAGAATACCTAATGATAGACCACTCTTACAGACGCGAACGAAATGGACACAAGGAAGACGAGATTTACAAGTTCGCGGTCCAGTCTTGATTATTGGAGACACTTATGCACGAAATAACTGGCCTAAAGGCCTCGTGGTAAGTTTTGATCCAGGAGGAGATGGTCTATGGAAACAAGCGAAGATCAGAACGTGGAAAGGTACAATTATTAGAGGCATACGTAAAATTTGTTTATTAGAAGGAGCTGACGACCGAAAAGTAGAGGATAGAGAGACTTTTCAGAGTGACTGTGGCTAGAGTAAATCGTACCATTGTCACCTCTGAATGTTTTTACGTTAATACCTAATCAGCGAAAGTAAGGAAAGACATGCTGTCTTTGGGGGGCGGTGTTAAGTTTGTTTTACATTGTTCCTGCCAGTTCCTTTTCTACTCTTTTGTATGTTGTTTTATACTACTTATTTACATTCAGTAGGCAGCTGTATGCCCAACAATTTTCACACTTATGTTGTAACTCAAGTTGTACTGTAACATTCTGGAATGTTCACCTATATCTTTAACGTTTATTTTACTTATGATTGTATTTATCATTATAATCACTGTGATTTAATTACTGTAACGATTATCCACAGTTTTGTGCATTTGTTTGAATGCAACAGTTTCCATATTGTTTGCTCTTGGTTCGAGTTTCGGTTGTTCATAAACTGTTACCAAATTTAGACACAGTTATCGGCTGTCTTTGGACTATCGTATGTTGTAATCATTCTTTATGTTACTCTTACAGGAAGCCTTTGCTATTTTCATTCTTGAACGACGCGTTTAAACGCCTAGACACCTCACAAGTTGAGGTTTGTAACTAAATTTTGTGTATTATTTAATAAAGAATCGCCTTTGTAGACAAATCGTTGTTTTGGAACTTCGATTTTGCGCGTATCTCAATCGGGGTTACTTCGACGCTTCGATAGAATTAACAGTATGACTGTACGAACATTCAATGTAATATTGAAGACGCGTGTAAACAACTGCTGAAAAGAAAAGTACATATATCCTAAAACAGATATCAATCCCTGAAAGATATCAATGCCAATATACTAGTGTATATTTGTCGAGCAAATAACAAAAGACCTGACTATCACTAGAATGGAAAAATTTCATTCTAGCATTGTATTATGTGGGTCATGATTTTTGATACCGTCTTGACATCAGACTGAGTTAACTTTCTCGTTTCGTTTAGTCGGCTGCAAGCAACAAACTGTTGGTTCCCATATACACTATCCCACTCTAAACACAATGTTTTGAAGATAGTTTGACAGTTAAATTTGAACACATGCATATTCTTT